GGGTTGCCCGGGGTGAGGCCCTGCCGGCCGCGGCACCCCGGCTGCCGCTGAGCGCGGCGCCACCAGCCTTAGAAGGGGCCTTGCACCCTGCCGCAGGTAGTGTGCGCATGGGGGGTCCGGGCCAGGTGGCTGGCTGGCTCCGGGGAGCAGCTGGGTTTTCCAGCCAGCCCGCTTCAGCACCGCTTGCCGCTTCATTCAGAGCTGCGCCTCTGCTGGAGACGGTGCCGAGTTTGGGAGCGAGTGGATAATTTAGGAAAACTCAGCAGTGCTCATACTCCCTTTCCTCCAGCTTCCCAAGCCTTTTTCATTTCCCCAGGTCAGGCAGCAGCAGAGCACTGACAGAACCCGTGCCTGGCATTAAGTGGTGGTGACAGCTGGGTTTCAATAAGCAGAATGATGGCAACGGGGGGTGGGCCCTCCTGTCCACTGAACGCAGCGAGGGGCTCCGGCTGCAGCACAGCTGGCAGGAGGTGGTTGCCTCTGGCTTCAGCCCACTTGTGAAAGCACCCGATTTTTTTTTTTTTCCCCTAAGTGGCTTTTCCCCTGCCCTAAGTGGTGATCGTGTATGTAACTGCCCAGCCATTACTCAAGTCCTTTTTTTGCCCTCCTTCAAGCGTGGCACCGTGACCCAGCTGCTCGAGCACTGGAGAACAACTGCTGGCTTTGCTCCCGCAGGACTGCAGGGATCTGATGTTGTTCTCAACACCCTTGGACCACTTCAGTCATGAAGGTTTCCACCTCATTTTAAAACCAAAGCCTGGGAAGTGAGGGGAGGCTCAAGTGGCACATCTACTGATAAAGGTCCTGCCAAGGTGCCACAGGAGTGTCTCTGGGGCGTTCTGGCCAGAGGAGCCAGCGGTGCAGGGACTGAGGGCTCAGCAGGGACTGCTCTTGCCACAGAGGGCTCTCTCCCTCCAGCGTGTTGCAGTACTTCATTGTGGACAGAATTGCACCATGTTGTGTTACTAACTGTAAATAGTTGTATTATAATCTGGTTTGTACAGAGGGAAGCCGCAGTGACCTTTGATACGGGTTTGGGACAGGTGTGTTCTCGGCAGCAAGGCAGGTCAGGCGCAGAGACACTGTGGGTAGTCTCGTGTTGTAATCCAGGGCATTAAATGACTTCAACCTGCTCCAATCCACGCCTCGCTGGACTCCTCTCTTTCTTTAGTGCCTTTTGTAGATACAGCTTAACACACATCATGCAATACAATGAACAAAACCATGTCAAAGGTGACGTTTTGTTGTTTTTGTTTTTTTTCCAAAGTGCAACTGACTGTGTAAAGCTTTTTTTTTGTTTGTTTTGAAAAAAAGAGAAGTCCAAGATTAGTTACAAACCATTGCCTATTGAAAAATGCAAGAGCATCTTCAGCTTTGATCTAACAGTAGGTTAATACAATCAACTTGTGTCTGAGCCTGGCTTCTCGGCAACAAGTGGCAGCAGGGGGAAGGAGCTGTTGCCGTCAGCCCTGTAAGCTGTAGCCAATTTACATGTTGGTTTTTGCCTCTTCCGTTACTGATGCTGTTCAATGTTGTTTAAATAACTGTACTATATTTTGTGAAAAGTGGAAGAAATTTTATTCAAAAAGAGAAGTATTGAGATTAGTTATTTATGAGGACAAAAAAAAAGTGTCTCTCGTTTTCTTTGCTTCTGCTAGAATATTAATTACCATAAAAACTTAACTGTGGGGGGATGGGGAGGCCTGTGCTGGAGGGCTGCGCAGGGCTCTTAGCACTGGGGATCCTGGGGGGGCTGGTGAAGCGTGGCTCAGGAACAGCGTGTTCCATGTGTGGGAACCCCGCGCAGCACTGCCCTCGGCCTGGGGGATGGCACGCACCCGCACCCTCGCCACTGCCGTGCCGTGGCACCACGTCCCAGCCTGGGCGCAGCAGCCCGGCTCTGCGCTGAACTGGCGGTAGTCCTCGGGGGGTGCCGTGCTGGGGGCTGAACTGCTGGCCGGTGCCCGTGACCTCGCTGACAGCGTGTTTCCTTGACAGGCCGAGGTCACACCTCGCTGGTAGAAGGGGGTTAACGATCAACTTTTATTGGTGTTCTGCAGTTTGCACACGATAGTCCCTCGCCCTGCACCGAGATCAGGCCCTCAAGAGGTGACCTTTGATATGTTTCAGGCCAAGTAGATGACAGCTCTTAGGCAAGCAGGATGCTGCACCGACCTGAGGGTCCATGTTGCCATCTGCTGTGTGCTCACTCATGTTGGGAGGAGCACTTTAGGAAAGACAGCAAGGGGTTAAGGCCAGCTCCGTGGTGACTAATGGTAAAGGAGTCTGCTGTCTAGTTAGGTGTGTAGGCACACAGCAGGTCCCACTAGATAGGATCTCTTACCTGGAAGCAGCATTCCAGCACCCAGTGATAAACCTGACAGCTGCAACCTGACTCACCTCAGTGCCGGGTGAGCTGCCCCCCACGGTCAGGTTCAGGCGAAACGCTGTCAGGGGCTGATCCTATCGCACAGAGGGCAACTGTTTGGGGTGTGTGCGGGGGACTTGCACCATCTCAGCCCGAGGTTCTCTCACACTGAGCAGCTGCAGACGCGGCCTGCCTCCAGAAGCAACTCCAGCACCTCGCAGGCAGCCTTGTTGCCATCCTCACCTCCCAGGAAGCCGCCGTGTCCTCCGCACCTCAGTCAGTAGGGGTTTGGCAGAGCTGCCATCCACTGCCTACCCCAGTTTCTCACAGCAAGGGAAGGGCCATTACTGGAGGCAGCCATTTGCGAAGCACCTGCAGGGACCCTGTTCCCGCGAGCACACGCGTGGTTGCACACAGCCGAGCCCAATGCCTGTGCTGCTGCGTTGCTCCCCAGCTCGCTCTCCCTCATTCGGTCGACTTAGGCCACTCTGGAGGCAGCCCCTGGCTTCCCTGGGCTCGAACAGTGGCAAATGGAGTGTGATTTCAGGCTGGGCGGTGTGGGGAATGACGGTGTCTGACAGTATGGGGACTGTGTGGCTTCTCAAAAGGTTTTGTTATCACAGAGCAGAAGCCAAAGTGGTTGTTTCACCTAAAAAAGGCCTTGTCCACAAAGGTAGCCCGAGGCTTTTTTCAACCTATGATGACAAACAAGACCCTGTTCAGCCAGTTAAATGCTCTTTCCCTAGCTAGGCAACTGGGGCGGGGGGGAGGGTGTGTTAGGAGGTGCTCTACACTGT